TTTTTTTTCTGCGGCTAAGCCCATTAAATCCCATTATCCGCACCTGTACCCCATCCTTATGCCAGGTGAGGTCGGGAAGCGGTGAGCCTTCCACTTTGCATTCAAGTTTCAACGGTTGGCCTTCTACAGCACGAGCATCTCCAAGGCGGATGGTGAATCTTGGTGGGGTGGTCTTGGATGGCATTTGTGAGGGAAGCATACCATCTAAAATTTAGGAAAAATCACTACATAAGAAAGGATGAAAACCAATACTTAACTGAGATGTTTCAATGTCAGCAAGATAATTTTTGAGCAACTACACTTTGAAAAAGTGATATTTAGCTTTTTTTCGAATGTAAGAAATTTTGCACAAGTTTCGCGTATTTAGGGAACTAAATTCACAAGTTTCTAGAAAACACAGACATCTACCCACCATCTATCCTAACGAAAGACTTTGTTGTAGCTGATCCAGACTCATTAGTAGCCACACATCGGTATGTTCCTTCATCATTTACAGTAGCTGACGTTATTCGCAAATGATACAATCCCTTAGCTTCATCGACTTCCCATTCATATCGTGAATCTTCCCAGATGGGACCACCATCGCGGGACCACTTCACTTGTGGCATTGGTTGTCCAGTAACCTTGCATTCCAGATCGATAGTTCCATTTAGTATTACAGTCTGATCTTCAAGCGGTATGATAAATTTGGGTGGTGAGCCCATTTCAAGTTTAGGCGCTTCGCCTTTGCCAATCGACATCTGGACATGGGTAGTGGCTTGTGTTTTGGCCTTTCCATATTTGTTCTCAGCTTCACAGCGATAGATGCCTTCATCGCTCATTGTACAGTCTTTGACAGTCAGGCTGCATGTGCCATCTGGTGAGGTTTCAATAATACTACGTGGGGTGTCTCGAAGAAGTGTACCATTACGATACCATTTGATCTCCGGGAACGGATCGCCTTTCACGGCGCATTTTAGGGTAAACGTCTCGCCACGATCCTTCCACATATCAACAAGACCTTTGGTAAAGAATGGCTCTTCTCCCTCCTTCTTGGCCTCGGCTTTTGGCACTTTTACAGTCAACAAACAGCTTGTATTAGTAGATCCATGCTCATTGCTGGCTACACATCTGTAGGCACCTTCATCGCCTTCGACAGCATCCCTGATGTCCAGGGTGCAGGTACCATCATCAGCGAGAGTGATATTAAATCGTCCACCAGATCGGATTGGTAAACCGTCTTTGTACCAAACAATACCAGCTTTTGGTACAGCATCAACTTTACAGCTAAGCCTAGTGCTTTGTCCAGCGTTGACAGTTTTATCCTCAAGTCCAGGATTGAATCTTGGCGCATATTCTTTCCTTTCAACGACTTCTTCTTGCTCAAGCACTGAAATAGAAAACAAATGAAAAAATAGCGAGTTATCAAAAAATCATCAAAACGCGAAAACTGGTCCCCGCAGGTAAAAAATTACCTTCTACAGTGTATGTCGACCTAGTGTCAGCTACACCAAGTGGGTTTGTAGCCACACACTTGTACACACCGACTTCATCGTGACCAAATCGTGCTATCCTTACACGGCACGCTCCATCCGAAGTGTTTCGAATCTCTACTAGTTCACTGGATTCAAGCTTCTTGTCTGAAAAAATCAATATATCGATTGAGAAATCGAGTTTTCTCCAGAATGCTTACCATCTTTGAACCATTCGATCGTAGCCGTCGGTTTGGCATCGACATGACATTCGATTGATAATGGATCATTGAGCGGAATACGTCTATCCCATAGTGGTACATTGAATCTGGGTGGATAGCGGTCATCTCCAGGTTCACGGCCAGGTCGCAAACCTATAAAGAAGTCGACTTATTTCTCCAAAACAGACGGATATATTTCGACAGGTTTCAATCTTTTTATTGTGAAGGAAAATTCGAGAATCTTGTTTTACCGGATTTCGCAAATTCGGCCTGGCATTCGTCACTGCCGACGTCATTGCTGGCTTTGCAACGAATTGTACCGAAATCGGATTCTCTGATCTAAAAGCAT